AGATTCCGCACTCTGTTCCATACTATGGAGAAGTTTTTTTTAAACAAACATATTCTGAAACGACTAATAGAAAAATTTCTTAGCAGGATTAAAATTTAAAAATTGAAGGTACAAATAAATTAAAGATGGAAAAGAGGCATAACTACACAAACAGTAGAGATTAAAACACAATGTAAAGCATTATAAACAACTTAATGCTAGTAAATTTTGAACAGACTAAGTGAAAATTTTTCTAGAAAAAATGGAAGTTACCAAGAAGAGATTTAAGACCATAAAGAAAAGAGAGGGGAAAAAAAAGCCAAAACAAATCCAGCAGTGTATGATTAAGAAAAATCAAATAAGTAAAGTATAAACTCCTCATGATCAAGTTGTGTTTATTCCAGGTACATATGATCTTCCCTTCATTGTGGAAAAATCATCTAATAAAACCAAACTCTTTGTGGTAAGAACTCTTAACAAACTAGAAATAATCTGACCCAAATGATCTATAGTATCATTCTTGACCATGAAACGTTAGCAGTCTTCCCATTAAAAGTCAGGAACGAACATAGATGTGAAGCTGGTGGTAGTCGTAGCTAATACTTGTTGAACACCTAATTTCTGATAATAACCAGTAAGGGAGATGCTATTATTATTATTTTTTTTTCTTATTTTACTGATAAGGGAACAGAGGCACAAATAACAGAGGTCACACAGCCAGGAAGTGGTAGAGTCAGGATTCGCAACCGAGCAGTTTGTATCTAGAGCCCTTGTTTATACCTGGGACACTCCACTGCCAGGCTATAGCTCTAGCTTTGTGCCTACCTCCCTGCTTCCAGTCCAAATTATACTGGAGGTCCTTATCACCATGGTAACAAAAGGAAAAGAAGAAAGAAGAGAACAGATCGAACATTACTTTTCAGATTATATTGTTGTCTATATAAATAATTCAAGAAAATCTACGCAAAGACTATCAGGACTAGTAAGAGAGTTTACCAATGTAACTAGGCACAAGCTCAATTTACCCACATTAATTCTGCTCCTAGCCACCAGGATCATTTGGAGAGAGTCATGTTTAAAAGTTGACACTCTTAAAAATAAATAGCAGTAAAAACTAGGAGGAATCTAGGAAGAAATGTAGCAAAAGATCATAATTTTTATATGTAAAAATTTAAAGTATTAAAAAGCACAAAAGAAGACTCAGATGAGTGGAGAGATAGACCATTTTTGTGAATGAACGTCTCAATATTGTAGAGATAGCAGTTCTTCCCAAATTAGCCTAGATATTTAATGTAATTCCAATAAGAATTCCAACACAGTTTTTTATGGGAATTGACAAGGTAATACTAAAATTCATATGGAAAAGTAAAGTCTATCAAGATAAATTAGGGATCAGGTGGGGAATTTACCCTACATGTATTAAGATATATTATAAAGTTATAGTTTTGTTGCAAAGATAGAAAATTGGATCACTGCTACAGAATTGAGAACTCAGAAATAGAAAATGTGTATTTGGTGACTTGATAAATAATAAAAATGGCATTATAATTCGGTAGGAAAATGATAGACTATTTAATAATAAATAACGCTGGGCAGAATGGTTATCTATAGAGAAGAAAATACATTTAGATCCCTACCCACACCGTACTCATTAATTAGTGGTGGGGAATTGGATTCAACACCTAAATAGGATAAAGCAACATTTTTAAATTTTCAGAATAAAAGTGAGAAAAAAATCTTGGGGGTTGGAAGGCTGTCTTCAGCAACATGAAGAGTTTATACCATGAAAGAAAAGATTGATAAGTTTACTTACATTAAAATGTAAAATACCCATCGAATAAAGGATACGATAAAACAAAGTGAAGTCACTGCCATAAACTAGAAATTGATACTGTGAAAAGTATTCAACTAGAAAGACAGGAAATCCAGAATCGATATTGAACGCTTACGCATCAGTAAGGAAAAGAGGGACAACCCAGGGGCAAAAAGACAGCACAGTGGACAGAGGAAATGACAGGCAAATCCCAAAGGGGACACGCAGATGGGTATAAACAAACGAAAAGAAACACAGACGGAGGGAGGGGGGCTAGGATGGG